GGTGGAAAAGCACTTGGGCAAACCTGGAAGCACGGCACTGAGACCCCCAAGTCGTGCAGAAGGCACAGTGCCCAGCTGCCGTCTCACGCTGTGGTCCCTTCTGTCCCATGAGCAGAGGCAGTCTGGGGAGGACCACGCTTGACTGGCTGGTTACCAAGGGATATTCCTGACCAGCCTCAAACAGGAACGAGACCGTCACATGTAAAACCCCAAGTTCAGGTTTGAAGATGCACTAATTTCTGCGAAACCGCAGCAGTACTAGAAGATTTTACATCACGTTGCCAACATATTTATATAGCAGACAAACCTTGAGCTTACAGATCAATCCAAACTTCCTTCTTTCCTTTAAAATTGTTCATTTTCTCAGCTATGCAATTTTTGGGCTACATTCAGGCTTTTGCTAGAAGGAAGCACCATCTTTTCTTAGAAACAGTACAACTAGTTCATGTAATGAATTGCTTCATACTCAATGTTCAATTATTTACTGATTTTATTTGATACTATTAATTCTTATTAGTTTTATAAGCAGTATGTATCAATTTCATTTTGGCCATTCCAGGGTTTTTACCTTAAGTTTTCACGTTCTAAGAGGCGTTTATCTTAACATAATTAAGTCATTTGTAGGTTACAGAATATGCACATAAAAATTAATTGGACTGCTTACTGGAAGTGTTCTCCAGCTCAGTTCATACTGCCATGACAGGCTTTTTAAACATTCAGGTGATTGATTCTAGGTACTGTGCTGTTTCCCAATTCTCTTCCCATACGTACAACGTTCCCATTAAATTTGACTTTGAAGAACAGCTATGAGAGTGCTCTTCACTAGCAAGACTTTTTGTAGGAAGAGAGTATTGCACTCAATACCCAGATTTAGAAGACAGGAGCTGAAGTGTTGGTAGTCTGCTGCTAGCACTGCCCAGTGCAGTGAGCAGCTCCTGGGCCACATGACAAGATAAATGCCATGCCACTTCTCTTCCAGATGGGGATAAAATACCGTGCAATGTAAAGCTGCTGACACAGCTCTGAGGAAGCTGGCTTGGGTACCATATGCAGCACAGGTACCGCAGAGCGCCCCAGAAGCGTGCCGCCCGGAGCTGAGCTGGCCAGGCTGCTGTCAGTGCACTGCCTAGGCCTGGCAGCCCGGCACTGCAGCCCTGCTGCGTGCATGGAAACCCACGAAACCCAGAGGTGGCGTCTTCTCGTGTCAAAGGCTGACATTCCCTACCCAAAGGTCTGCCTATATACAAAGGTACCTAATTTTTTTACAATATCACTACTGCTGTATAAATAAATTGTTGAAATGTTTGGTGGTAGTACCACATGGGTTATTCTAATTATTTTAGAAACGTTATTTGGAGTTACCAAGACTGAAGAATAATTCTTGAGACCTAATAAAACTAGGTGACAGGGAAATTAATTGCAATTATCAGTAATCCAAGGAAAAGGTAATTTCAATTATTAATAGGCAAGATTTTTTTTTAAATTCAAAAATACCTGGGAAGTGGTAGTGGGAAAGTTCAATAAAAATGTTTTGGTCACTATAAATAAGCAATCCACCAAGTTTGTAGCTGTGTAAGGAATGATGCAAAGAAGAACGACAGACGGTAAAAGCATCAGCCTTCAGTAGTTTCTGAAGTGCTTTTTGTTTTATTTAACTAAAACTCGTAGAACCTGTTCTGGAAATAGCCGTCCTCAAGTTTGGAGTGACAACAGGCTTCCACATTTGAACCTTAGACTAAACAAAGCTATCAAAAGGAACAAGATACGACTTTAAAGGTTATACCTCTTGGGAGGGAAGACAATGTGAAATAAAAACACAAACCACACCAATGTTTTCTTGGTGAAGGAAATACTTCAAGCCAATGGGTAAGAGCTGTTGCTGAACTATTTCAAGACTAGAGAGGGAAAGAAAAGGACAGAGTTGTAACAGAAGTATTTGGGAAATACTCAAAAATGCCCTGAAGCTACTTTAACAGATACAGAAAATCTGGTCTTCTCTTCCTCAGTGAATTTCAAATAATGTTTTAAAAATCTCTGAAGAAAGATAAAGAAGACTTTAACACAGACTGACAAAATTGGCTCAGAAGTGGTCATGGATTCTTAAGTCTAATGCATAACTAGTGCCTTACTGCATATTCTGTAGGCAAAAAAAAAAAAATCTGACCTCCTTCCACCCTTCTAAAATTCTCTGAAACAACATTATTATGATAAAGCCATATCTATTTTTGTTTTCTCATTATGTAAATATATACTGTCATACTTGGTATTTTTGGTATTAGCTACTGATTTTTATTATGGTCTTTATTCAGGCAGGAAAAGTAGACTGAACGTGAGAACGCTGCTCTTACTCAAGTGCTGGGAACAGGGAGTCCAGCTTTGGGACCAGTGGAGCAGAGTCATACCAAAGCAGGCTTGGCACATTGGGTTAAAGGTCCTATCATGAGCTTCAGAAGCAATACCAATCAATGTCAGACTCGCAGAAATATCTTGGCCAAAATTACAGGGTTCAATGATCATTTCTCATACATAATTAAAGCACAACAATCATCCAGCTGATCTGCAAAACCTTCCTAAGGCCACCTGCTTGTGTACAGTCTTTTAATCAGCAAAATAATCTTTATTAGCAATCACCTTTCTTGCCATACAAAATGTTCACTATTGTTTAACAATGACAGAAGTGGAAAAATCCACTGGCATTTAGATGCAAAGAGCAGGCACCTACCATAATGGCAAAGCAGGCTAATGCTAATGTTTGGAGTTCTTCTACAACTGAAGCTGCATTTTTTAAAAAATATTCTTCTTCTTTTAAAAGAGGGCAACAACATGAGTTATCTAAAGCCTGTGAAATTTCTTCTAAGATGATAACATCTTATAATTTTACAAGCAATACTTTTGTTTGCATATTCTGTTTAATTGACAGGACTGTTCCTAAACTCTTCAGAAATGTTTTTTTCTTAAATGGGATTTCGGTTTTGCCTATCAAGCACAGAGCAACTGATCTGCAGATCAGTAACTCTGGACTTTTCAAGAAACTGAGGCATCCAGAAGCAGTGGACACCCTTCAAAAATGTGAACATCATGAAATACTCATGAATCAAGCAAGACTCTGCTTACTTTGAAAGCATTAGCTTTGTTCAACTAAGCATCTGAATTAATGTCCAAATGCTTAAGTTATCCAACGCAATTAAGACAGCAGTGAGATGACAACAGAAACATGGCTTTGTATACCAAGGCCTGGTAAACACATCCCTTCTAACGCCCCAAGTGCAGGGATACGGCTGAGTGGGGACTGACCTCCCTGGAGCACTCTGTGGTCCCACCGTTTTGCTTGCAGAGCTGTCCATAAACAAGAACAAATGCAGATGCCACAAGTGAGGGACGCTCGTAAGCAGGCCTATCTTAGCCAGCGGCTGGACTGGCCCTGGAAAATGGCCGAGGCCCTGGGGTGCTTCTCTGAGCTACCCGGGGCTCCGGCAAGCTGGCTGACCCTGCTGGCAGCCCCCAGCCCCGCGATGCCCTGAGGAGAGCCGGGACGCCCCGAGGACCACAGCTGGAGGTCCCCAAACCCCACAAGCCTCGGCTGGAGCATGCCATCTTCCCCTCATTTCCATCACACCCACGCACCCTCCCAGCCCGGGAGATCTCCCTCAGCTGCGGGGGGATCCCATAGCCCCCACCGCATCCCCTACTGTCCAGGGGATGGAGCCAAGAGCGGGGCTGCGGGAAGCCATTCCAGCCCCTGCTGCCCCCAGCTGGGGAGGAGGGGA